CTCTCTCTCGTAAATAAATAAATAAAAAAAATTAAAAAAAATTCTAGAAGTTAGAAATTTCAGGAATAGCAGATACTATGTTGGCAAAACATAAAATGCTGTGGATATCATGTTCACGGAAGATATCTTGTCCAGAAGGCCAAGGAAATAGTATCTTAGGTGATAACTAAAGTTCAACGTGAGTTAGTGAAGGGATGGAAGAATGAGAAGGTGGAAGAGATATCAGGCCAAGATATACCAACATGTAAACTATTTCTTATTCAAATTGAAAAACAAAGACTGAATTTCCAAAATTAAAAAAGCAAGCATATTCTAATTAGAGAAAGCAACTATGAGATTTCAGGTTTGGCCAACCTCTTGCCATCATAGGGAGCTGTACATGTTGTGGCAGCTGACTGTCAGTGAACACATCGTGTTAGGTTTCCTTAGACTCTTACTACTTCTTGAGCTGGAAGGGCTCTATTTTATCAAATAGCTATTGCATTGGTTCTCAACTTTGTCCGACACCATTGCTTGATTATCTGTCTCCCCTGTGGACCCATGCTTGAAAGGACAACTATTAAACAAAAATGTACTTCTTCCCTTTCCCCTAGACTTGGCTTCTCTTAGTTATATTATAAACTTAACATAGCTCCATTTGAAATAAAAAAAGAAAAAATTAATTTTCTGACAGACAAGCACATTACTTGGTTCATTCTAAAGTTGCTTCAGCTAAGAAACATTACGTCTGCAAAATCTGAGGTCAAAGATATGTTCATTTAGCTCACCATTTTCAGAGAATGTTAAAATCAACTTCAGACTGCACACTATGTAAGTCAATTAATCCATTTGCAAATGATATGCTGATAATGATAATTCTACCATGTTTAACCTGTTCTGTGTGGCAAATGCTGTTGTATTCACTGCATTTGATGATTATATCTCTTAGGAAGGCTTTCAGTTAAGCATAGCAGTGCAGGTGTGAAAATTAAATAAGAACATATTTTGTATCATGGTCAAGGTAACACTGATTGTAGTATTGGGTTACTGGAAAATTCCAGGAATGTGGTCTGGGGAGATGGCTCAGTGGAATAAGCTCTTCCCTGGCAAGCACAAGGACCTGAGTTCAATCCCCGGTTCTGCAAAAAATAAAAATAAAAAAAATTCCAGGAATGTATATTTTAAACTATTTAGTTTTAATTTAGTAACATGAGCTACCACTTACAGTGAAGCATCATTTGACTTATTCATGGAAAAAGTATGCAGATTATTGCAATATCTTGGAAGAAATGTACTATTCCACTCAGTTTGATACACAGAATTCTAGGGCTTAAAAAGGAGCTAAGAGTTGCTGAAATTCTTGAATTTAAGAGCCAATATGTGGGTGTTGAAGAATGTACAAGTTCTATATTCTTGTTATTATCTGTTTATCCATCTAAATTGAAAATTATCAAGTTATGTTTTCTTTTTATCATCCTCAATGTCACACAGATTATAATATCAGGTTACTTGTAAATTTCAGGAATGCATATTTGAAATTATTTGGTTTTAATTTAGTAACAACAGCTGCCCAATATTGAGAGGGAAATACCACTTGACTTATTGTACATTTCAGTTGCTGAGAAATTGCTGAGGCCTCTTGAATAACATAATTTAATCAGGATATTAATAATGAAACATTTCCAAGGATAATGAGCACAAAGAGGCAGGACTTGCAGGACTAGATTACTGGTTTTGCAAACAAAAACTAAGAAATTATTGGGAGAGAAGCTGAGGCTATTGTTTTGGTCTGTATTCCCCATGGGGCACTCTTAACATCCCTGTTCCGCAGGCTGTAGATGAGGGATTCGGCACGAGTGGAACACAGTCTAAGTCACTGCACTGTTTCAGGAAGAATGGAATACAGCTGAGTGAGTATGCACTGCAAGGCCTGTCCTATGTAATACCCAGACCACTGACAGGTGGGATCCACCTAAGGACCCCTCAGAATGGAAGAAGCAATCTTACAGTAAGAGAAAAATATCTCTGAAATAGGAAGAAGTCTTTAAAAAAACCAGTAAAATGTATGATAATGTTATTTATAAAAGTATCAGAGCAGGAAGTTGAGAATGATCACTCCTGGCTACATAAACTACATGTTGAGCCTGCTAATGAAAAAATAATGCTTCCAATAGATCTTCCTCTGTCCACTGTCTCCCAGTACACTTACTGCATAAGGCCAGCTCTCAGCTAGGTCATGAGCCATGACCAAATACAACCCTCTGTTGCTCTCTAGTTAAGGCTATCTCTGTCATCAGTATCAATCTGAATACAGTGTCATATGAGTTTCCTTATGCAGGCAGTCACAGAGGAGGTGACATATGTATCGAAGCTCTTGAGTTGGAGCTGAAGGCCTCAAGGTTCAGGTTGACTGTGGGCTGTCATGTGACCTGTACTCTGAATGCAGAGCTCACAATTAACCAAATTGGCCCATTTTCTTCAAATCTTTAAGGATTTCATTATATCAATGGAGGAAAGGGGCCGGGGAGATGGCTCAGTGGAATAGGCGCTTCCCTGGCAAGCACAAGGGCCTGAGTTCAATCCCCGGTTCCGCCAAAAAAAAAAAAAAAATGGAGGAAGAAGAGAAACTGAATGTCCCCTGAAGTGGTTGCTTCATCCTACTCAGCAAGAAGTTTATGTGTGATTTTACTTCTTTAGTGTTTTTATTAATATGAATGCTAATTGTATAGATTAAAAATTATTCATTGTGGTACTTCCCTACATACATTCATTGTATTTATATGCTTGTCTTCCATCCTCATCCCCCCACAAGCACTTTTGCCAAATCTTTGTCCCTTGTACTTCCAGGGTGACTTTGCTTAATTTGTGCATATGAGAGGAAACATGGAACACTAAGCTGTCTATGTCTTCACTTTTTCAAAAGTCAATCTGCATTTTATTTCCATCAATTATTATGGTAAATATTCATAAAAATTAAGATTTTCCCATTACATATGCACAATTCAGTTGCATTGATTTCATCCACATTTTTTTTGCAGCCATGAACACCATCCATCTCCATAAATTTTTCAACTTCCCAAAAGGAACAGCTGTATCATTTAAAATCATTTTCATTTTTATACTCCCCCACACTGAGTAGCTGCACCCTACTAAGAACCCTGATAAAGAATTGAAGTTTTCAAGATAAAAACACACCATGAGCACTGAAGCCTTAGCTATATATCTACATGTCACCTCTGCTAGATTTGTATGCTTCATTTCAAATGTCCTGCAAAAGCCCCACAATTAGACTATTCTACTGTGGAGCCTCCTTAAGGCATCTTTAATATCCCTGTTCCTCAGGCTGTAGATGAAGGGATTCAGCATAGGAGTGACCATGGTGTACATCACTGAGGCCACAGCGCTGTTTCTGGGAGAATGTGATAGAGCTGAGTCAATATAGACTCCAAGCCCTGTCCCATAAAACAGACAAACTATTGACAAGTGAGATCCACATGTAGAGAAGGCCTTGTATTTCCCACTTAAGGATGGACCCCTCAGAATGGAGGAAGTAATTTTATAGTAAGAGAAAAAGATCCCTGAGATCGGAAGAAATCCAAACACAGTAAGAATAAAATACATGATCATGTTACTGATAAAGGTATCAGAGCAGGCAAGATTAAGAAGCTGAGAAGGGTCACAGAAGAAATTAGCAATGTACTTACTTTTAAAGGATGTCAGTTGTAAGATAATCAAGTTGTGCAGAAGCGAGTCCGAAAGACTGACCAAAAATGACACTAACACTAAGAAGAGGCAGAAGCGAGGGTTCATGATGACTTGGTAATGCAGGGGGTGGCAGATGGCTACAAACCGGTCATAGGCCATCACACTCAGAAGCATGTCATCCATGCATGCAAAAGTGAGAAACACGGACATCTGTATGAGGCAACCCAAATGGGAGATGACTCTGCTGTGACTTTGGATGTCCATAATCACCTTTGGGACCATAGTGGATATAAAGCAGATGTCAGCAAAGGAGAGATTGGAGAGGAAGAAGTACATGGGGGTGTGGAGGTGGGAATCACAGCTGACGATCAGGATGATGAGCAGGTTCCCAAGGACTGTGACCAGGTACATGGCCAGGAAGAGTCCAAGTAGAATTGGTTGTAGGTTAGGATCTTCTGAGAATCCCAAAAGATAGAATTCTGAGACATGTGTTAGACTTGGTGTTTCTGAATTGTTTGAACACCTTTTGAGAAAAAATGTTCAGAAATAAAAAAGCAATGTCACTCTGTATACATTTTACATGTAAGTATTGCCATGTAAAGTATCATAGTTGAGTTTCAAAATTTTGAACAGTTCTCATTTTTTACAAACTCAGCTCCCTTACAGTTTTTTTTCTCCTTATTGGCGCCTGTGTTATTCACCTCTTTTCTGCACATACTTTCAAGACAGTTTACACAGCAATGTTAGGAATCTCAGGAGCACTAAATCTAACATGTGCATGCTCACAGTTAGATACTGACTACTCTTTTAAGACAACCTACAGTATAGAAAATATCCTTTCATGTTGAAGATAAAAATCATCATTATTAAAGGAAGTGAGAAACTTTAGCAAAATACATTTCATTCAAAACAATGGTATCAACTCAAATAACCTGTGATACATATAGATTCATTGAAAACAACTGAAATAGTTGTACATTAAATGAAACTTGACATCATTATGAAACGTTGATATATGTCACTTGTCTTCAAATGACTTCATTATTTCATTTTCTAAATTCTTTTCTTGAAGGATATACTTGCTCAAATATTGTTTTTCTTTTGTAAATCATTAAACATAATTGTATTTGTCTTTGCTAGACTTCAAATTGGATAAATGTCATTTACTTAAGTGTACATAATCCAAGAATCTGTACACATAAGTGTGAAAATACTACACATTGCACCTGCCAATGATTTAACAAATGACATAATACAAAGAAACATTTTATGCAGATTTATTTGTGTAAACCCATGAACAAGGCCAGTTACATTTCTCTCTCTCTCTCTCTCTCTCTCTCTCTCTCTCTCTCTCTCTCTCTCTCTTTGTTTAGTACAAGGTCTACAGGATCTCACTACTAGATTGGACTCATAGTGATCCATCTGTTTACAGCCTCCCAAGATCTGGGAATGCAGGCTGGCCTCACCACGCCCAGTCTCAATTGCTGTCTCATCGTGACCTGGGGATAGAACTCCCAGCCCCTGGGTCTGTCTAAGCAGGTGTTTTAATCTGCTGAGCTATTTGGCTGACCCGCTCTTTTCTTTTTTTTTTTTTTTTTTTTTTTAGACAATGCAACTATATATCTACCCCAACCACTTTCAATACACAGATACAGTGTCTGGTCATGAACCTTCTTGCTTAAAGCTAAAGGCTTTATCAGTAAGGAAGCCACACAGTTCAGTCTGAGTCCCAATTTTCTTCTAATTAGTTAAGATTTTCAATCCAGTCCTTCCAAATGGGTCGATGGCAATTTTTTTTTATTTCAGCAACCTGAAGGCACATTCAGTTCATTTATTTGTAAGATCATGATGTAACAGATGTGAAAGAAAAGGCAAAGTAATACAAGTGCAAGAACTCACATGAATATACCGTGGCATTTTCTTCATCTGTCAAATAGAGATTATAGTTTATTTATTTTTTAATATTTTTATTTTATCTTAAAGAATAAATACAAAAAACAAAAGCAAAAACCAATAATAAAAAGAAAGACAAAGACAAAGAAACATACAGCAATACATATGGTACTGAATTTCAAAATAAGAATAGAAAATTAACAATGGTTGTTATATTATGTATTTTTATAGTCAAACCTGTTGCTAAGATTACCATATGTAGGTATGAAAGATTGGTCAGATAGTTAAACATTAACTCTTCCTTTCAATAAACCTGTCCTTAAATTGTTTTAATTTTATTTTATTTTGGATAGTAAAAGCAAAGAAAGAGCAAAAATCAGAAACAAAGAAACAGGGTAACATACAACAGCTATGTCACAGATTTTCAAACCAAGAATAGCTGGTTAACAATGGTTGACATATTATCTAGTTTATCATCAAATCTGTTGATCAGATTTACAGATATAGTTATGTAAGATTGGACATATGGTTCGATATTACCACTTGCTTTCAAGAAAACTTTTTTTGTTTTTGTCTCTTTTTTTTAACCTTTTACTTTTAAATATTTTACAGATTTCTGGTGAGTTATTTTTGAAATATTTTGATTTGTATAGATCCATATTTCTCAGTCCCTTTTCCAATGCATTTACTGAAAATATTGGAAAAAAATGTATGTCTTGACCATAGACCAAAATAAATTTAACTGAGGGAGATTCCATTCTTACAGTAGGATTGATATAATCTATCTTAGAATATTTTCTAGTAGTTTTGAAAATGCATCTTTAATGGTAATTAAGTCCAATAATATCCACTACATATATTAAATATTTCCTAATCTTTAATCATTTAGGTATGTATTTCATGATTAAACAAAACACCATTTATCATTAAATAAAACACCATTAATTCATCATTAATTAAAACAGTTAATGATATTTCACAAATAATATTACACAGATATTTAAAATATTAACTCTGAACTCTTACTTCTTCATATCTCTGTATAATTTCATTCTCCCATAAATTTGCCTTTCAAACTACAGCTACTGTCATGAATTTTGTGGATATACATACACTCAATATTTCAATATCATTTTTGATTTATGTATCTATAGAAAGATCTCTAAAAACTAACTGAAAATACTCTTGAATCTCATCTACATCTTAATTTCTGGTAGACAATACCTTTTTCTCCTGAAATATACTAGCTTATGTTTACTTATGACTTTATTTCTCTGTATAAAGTACATACCATTTCAAAGCCTTTAATTGAAGTAAAGTGATCTAAAAGAGAATATTGTCGATATATAACAAATCTTTCAAAATTCTCTGCCCTTCTCTATATCATACCAGTCAGAATTGCTGTATAATACACACATAGAGCATATGTAGTTTACTTCCAACATTTGAGGCAAATGCTGTTATATATGAGTCACATATTTATGGTGTTATAAAAACACCTTCCCTTATCCATACATTCTCTTGTGCTTGTATTATACCAACAAATACCCTTGAAGCGGATCTAGGAGTAAATTTTTCATAATAACTAACCAAGAAATTTCATCCTGAACAGGGAATCATATTTCCATTTATTTCTTGTTGAGGAGACGGTCCCCTGGGATGGGAGTCATCTTTTATTCCTGTATCGCTTACCTGCTACTATATGCAGAATGTGATCAAATCTCTCAGTTTAGGTTCACACTGATCAATGAGTAGAGGAAGAAGAACCATATCTTCCACATATATTATGTATATGGAAAATTAGGAAACTCATGAGGATTTGGTCATTATATTATTAAAAGTAAAGAACTCATTCTTTCTGTAAAGAATGAATTTCTGGGAGGCAATTGTGAGAGGGCACAGTAGCTCTGATGAGAGCGAAGGATACATTATGCCTCGCCAAAACTGTAAACATTGCTGCCTCCTTTTCTGTCTGCCTTTTTTCATACTCATTAAAATATATCCATTAGCTTTTGAAAAACTGAATATTACAGATGTCAATTCAAATTATAGGTTTCATATGTTTATGGCATAAGAGAAACAAGAGATATTTTATATTGCTGCCAGTAATATGGGACATTACTGAAAGCATTGAAAGTACCTACAGGCAAGCCTCAAGTGTACTGACAAGACAGTCATGGTGGCCATTGTCTGTACACCAGAAAGTATCCATTCAGCGTCTGCCAATGACATTTCTTTAATGCTGCATTAGTGTCAGGCAACGTGTGTGGTCTGGGGAATTTGAAATATCTATGAGGAATCAATAAGTCCTCTCCAAATATACAACTGCTAATAGAAGGACAAAAATCATATGTCCCTTTCCAGAAATAGTAGCTTCAGACTACAGGATATTTTAGCTGAGTGATACCAATATTACCATTATTAATACTGGGAAATTCATATTACTGTGGAAGGTGAAATCCTGTATCATTCTAATTTTTCTGTTTTAATACTATTTTGTACTCTGTAAAATAAAAATAATAAAAAGAAAAAATAAGAATATTAAAATAGCGTTTTATCCTCCACTGCATGAGTTCTTCACATAATCATCTCACAGGGAAAGGCCTTCCCTTGTGCGATCCTCACTCAAGGCAGCTTCATTGACTACAAACCTATCAGGTGACAATGCTGTCTCACAGATGTCAACAACCTATCTTGTGCCACAAAAATAAGCAAAGCTAAAAGAAATCAAATTTAAATTAGGACTCAGTTTGTACCACTTAAGTTCTCCTCCCAAATTTCAGAAAATTTTAAGAGCAAGTTCAGAGGTCTGAACCAAAGATGCACTCATGTACATCTTTAGGCATGTTCCAGGTCTTATTAAGAAAGAAATATTAAGAAACTTATTAAGAAAGAAATCAGGACCTGGCTTTACTTCTGTTTAGGCACAGAGGAGGATTGCATCGCAGCAAGGGTAACCTGGAGTGGATAAAGTGTTGGTTTATTTTATGCCTCCTACTTTGGTTTCTCTACCTATGAGCCACCGCTACCGCACCTCTAGCACTCAGTAAACACCCACAATGGTTCCTCACTGTAACCTACAAGGAGTCCTCACAGCAAAGTATGTAATGAGCAGGAAATCTTACCCAGAGTGAATAGAAGTGAAACGGTTTCTGCTGATTTCCCAAACTGCCAAGATTCTACCTGCAAAAACACCTGTACTTCAGCAAACCACTAGAAAGCAGCCAGACAATTGTCCAAGCTATCCTGTGTATATATGTATCTATTTTTTCCCTTCTTTCTTTTCCCCTTTGCCTCATCCCAGTTGTTCATTTCCTTTAAGCAGTTTCTTTCCCTTTCACAGTAGCTATTGTACCTTTTGGATTTTATTTATTCTTTCAGGTTCTTACACCAGCAAGGCAATGTAATGTTTACATATGTGGGTCTGATTTGTAACTGTACTTCTTATTTCTACAGGTCTATTGAGAGGAACTGTTGGTATTTAATTTTTTCTTCTTTTTTTAAATTATTTGACCAATTTTGCATGCTTCTATCTAGCAATCTGACCCAAACTAACTTGTAGACAACAATATGCAATATTACAACTATTCTCAAATTCCTATCATTTTGTTTAATGAAATTCTGTATTGTTTCTAATTTTTCACTGTTTTATTCTCTTTAAAAAAATGAAATTAACTAGCTTGGTTAAATAAAAAGAACATCCTGTGTTATAGTCAGAAAGATCAATTCAAACAAATATTCATACTTTTCAATCTACATACCTAGGACAGTTACATAAAAATGTTATTATCTCCTTTTACTGGAAAATAGTACTATTTGAAGTAATTATAACTTGACTCAGACTATGCAGATGAAATGACACAAGATACACAGAACATGTATCTCAGAGTCACACACTTAGGAAAGCCTTGGCACAAATAGAAGATGCTGAAATCATTATCCTTCTCTTCACTGTCCTCACCATCATACATATTTTGTGGGGTGTTCATGAAAGTTTTGATGCACCCATTTTCTTCTCCTTTGGGCTAGATATTTATAGAAGTAGAACCACTAAAGATGGAAATCAAACTTTGAATGAGATTTTGAAATTTTCAACCAAGAACATGAAATTCACAGTCCACATACTCAAAATTCTAATACTGTTATTCTCCATTCTGACTACTCCATCTATCATATTTTTTCAGATGATGAAAATCTAAAGCTTATTTTAGTCCTTCTCCCATGCATATGTCCTTTAGGACTTACTTGATTATGTTGTATGCCTGCTCAGTCATGATCAAAGACTACAGATTTGATTAACTTTTCTGCAAACTGTACAGTGAAGGCTCAAGTTTGCCTCTCTGTATTGACAGAAATACAGTAGCAGACAGAAAGTTCCAGCATAGGAAATCATAGAAGTATCAGACACTGATATGAAGAGATTGCCCTAGAGCTGTCATACTGAAGGTCTGAGGACATGAATGAATATATACTATCAGGTGGCCTTAGAGACAGAATGCACAGAGCTCATAATTAATCATGTTGGCCCATACTGCCCCCATCTCTAAGGACTTCTTAAGGTTAATAGAGGGAGAAATAAAGAAAGTGAATTTTCTCTAAGGTTTTGGGCTGCTCAGGAGGAACCTCATGTGTCCTATGTTTTCTTACATTTTAAAGGTCCACATGATTTTTATTTGTATATTTTGCTGTGCTGACATTTACATAATAAAAAGTTTACCACTCTAGCCCTTTTGAAGTGCATGGATTGGTGACATTAATTACTTTCACATTATTATGCAACCATCACCACCATCCATCTCCAGAAAGATTTTGTAATCCCAATCTAAATGTGTTTCCATTTTATAAATAACTCCATCCTATATTTTTATGAAGTAAAAGTCTATTATCAGACAAAATGACATTTTTAGACATCAAAATATAAAAATAGTTTGGCTAAGGAAGCAGAATTTCCAGATCAAGACGTTGCTTTTTTCACTTTCTTTTCAACTCACATCACAAATGAGTGCCACTGGTGCTGAGGTTGCACTCTTCAATCAGGTGGCTTAAGCAGGAGATTTTTAATACCCTGTTTCCCAGGCTACACATGACAGGGTTATATGTGATAAGGCAGATGAAAGGTATCTTCCAATAGCAACTCCAGAAAATAGCCCAACTGCTTGGAGTGAGATCAACAGGTGGAAAAGACTTTGTACACCCTATCTATTGAAGACACATTTTAATGGTTTAAAGAATAGTTTTTGTCAGATCATCTCTTTATTGGCCTATTTTCTTATGCTCCTTAGCTAGCTGGGCATGCCACAACCCCATTGTTGGTGTCATCTGTGATGTCACAGAGTGCCAGCTGTCAACGTTGCATCCCACAGACTGGGAGGTGCCCAGGATCTCTTTCCAGAAAGTTCTCTTGCTAAAAACCAGTGCTATATCTGTTGGGCAGATTTCCCAATCTCATCAAAAATAATATTTCAACTGTGTTTTATGTTTTTCTACTTCTTTCTGTCTCTTGGTAGCTCCTTGAGAGCTTTGATGATCGGGGCACAGGCAGAAGACACCACCTAAACCTGAACCTGTCTGTTTTTTTTTTTTTTTTTTTGGAACCGGGGATTGAACTCAGGCCCCTGCACTTGCCAGGGAAGTGCTTATTCCACTGAGCCATCTCCTTGGACCCTGTCTGTTTTAAATAGTCAGTATCACCATAATTCTCAGACAGTTCCAGTTATCAGTTGCCTTGGCGACGTCATCACAAACTTATTTTGCAGACAGATCTAAGGGACTGATCTTGGGTTCCAGGATTGACATCAAGTTTACCACCAGGGTGGTGGCATCAACTTCACCAGCAGTGCACTTGAGGTACATGACTTTGATCATGTTGGGGTCAAACTTGGGTGACATGGCAGAGGCGACGTGTCAGATGAACTCGGATTCAGGATGACAGGAGAAACTTACATCTTAGCCTCCAATCAACTGAAAGCCAAATGAAGCTTAAAGAGTACTATTATAAAAGTAAAGGAATAATACTACAGGAGGAAAAGCAAAACCTATTAGAAAACACATCATAATATTACTAGCAAAGGTGTAACAACAAATAAAATCAAGGATTTAAGAAGGCACACAAAGGCCGGCCAAATAGCTCAGCAGATTAAAGTGCCTGCAAGCAGGTGCAGGGTCCAGGGTTTCGATCCTGAGCCTGTCATGCTGGTCCCACACCCAGGGCATGCTGAGATGGGGATTGAGACAGGGTGTGGTGGCGTGCGCACCTGTAATCCCAGCAATTAGGAGGCTGTAGACAGGAGAACCACTATGAGTCTGATTTAGTAGTGGGAACCTAAACACCCTGTTGACCATTCCTTACAATATAGAAAAAAAAGAAAAAGGAGGGACACAGAAGTTAGCAATTTTTACATTCTTAAAGTAGGATGAATGAATGCAAGACAATTAGTGCTTCTTCACTGCAAGTAAAGGATTGTCTTTGGGGAAAATTATAGGACAGACTCAATCATTCCTCTCCAGATATTCACTATTTACTTACATATGGACAAAAATGAAGTGTTTTACTACAGAAAAAATGAAGCCATAACATAATCCCATGGGATAATAAAACAAATAACACAACAATTGTACCAATAATATCTCTTATTCTTCCATGATTTCTGCATGAATCACATATTGATAACATAGGAGGCCAAAATTATGTGTTTAATCCATATTTCATATAGCTGTATCAACCAGAGATTCAGATGCATACCAATTCAGAGCCTCAAATATACTAATAAGCTTCCTTACACCACAAAAATAATAAATTGAGTTAACAGGGTCCAAGATTAAATTGACACCCTCTGGTAATTTGAGGGATTATAGTAATTGTTTTCATTGTTTCTTAACTACATGAATAATTTCAGTAGAGGTTTAGAGGAATTAACCACTGGGCTATCGCAGGTATACTATAGAACAATTTCCAAATGTTCAAGCAAAAATATAACTAAGAAATTATTTTTACTCTTGAGATTCCTTGAGCTGTTTACAAGAATACAGGAGGATTTGAAGTGATGCGGTGGTGTTTTTTTTTTTTAATTTTTTAAAAATTTATTTATTTGTGTGGGTGTGTGTGTGTGTGTGTGTGTGTGTGTGTGTGTGGCCAGCTCAGCCCACCAGGGGGCAGGGCTGGCATGTGGTGCTGGGGGATTGAACCGCGGTCCCTGTGCTTTGCTAAGCTTGTTCTAAGTAGGTGCTTTAGACCACTGAGCCATCTCACCAGTCCACGGTGGTGTCTTTTATGGAGGTAAGAGAGAGTTATCTTCAGTTATGATGAAAGTACTCTTTCCAGGATGTTTCTTTGTGATGTTGAGCCAGTTTGCATTCAAGAAATGTAGCAGAGCCAATGCCAACTCAGCCCTGTTATCTATTGGGAACCTCAGAAGAGAATCCAGTAAATAAGGGCTCTTTCCCTAGAGTGAAAAGAAAAGAATAACCTGGTCATGTTGTCAAAAGAATATCATGTCAAGATTATACTGGCATCAGTTCTCTTTCCCATCTTGCAAGATGGCAGGTGAAAAAACTGAGAAGACAGGCACTAAAGGGAAGAAACCCAAATCCCAAAAGGCTTCTGCCAGTGGTACTGGTAAAAAGGGGAGAGTGAAGAAGGCAAGAAAGTCCAAGAGGGGCAGCTCCACTGCAGCCAAAATCCTGTCCTGGTTAGAGGAATTGGTAGATACTCCTGATCTGCTATGTATTCCAGAAAGGCCTTGTACAAGAGAAAGTACTGCTGCTAAATCAAAGGTTGAGAAGAAAAAGGAGAAAGTTCTTGCCACAATCACAAAACTGGTCTGTGGGGACAAGAATGGAGGTAGCTGAGTGGTTAAGCTTCAAAAAATGCCTAGATACTACCCTATGGAAGATGTGCCCCAAAAGCTGTTGAGCCATGGCAAGAAACTCTTCAGTCAGCATGTGTGGAAACTTCAAGCCAGCATTACTCCCAGCACCATCTTGATCATCCTCACTAGGTGTCACAGAGGCAAGAGAGTGGTCTTCCTGAAGCAGTTGGCCAGTGCCTTGCTACTTGTGATGGGGCCTCTTAGCCTTAATCGTGTTCCTCTATGAAGAACACACCAGAAATTTGTCATTGCCACCTCTACAAAAATTGACATCAACAAAGTGAAAATCCCCAAACACCTCACTGATGCTTACTTCAAGAAGAAGCAGCTGCAGAAGCCCAGACACCAGGAGGGAGAGATCTTTGACACTGAGAAAGAGATAGCAGATTTCAGAGCAGCTCAAGGTGGATCAGAAAGCAGTGGAATCACAGATTTTAGCAAAAATCAAAGCTGTTCCTCAGCTCCAGGGCTACCTGTGATCTGTTTTTGCTCTGACAAATGGAATTTATCCTCATAAATTACTGTTCTAAATTTCTTACAAAGAAATTTAATTAAATACCTAATTAAATAACTGATATGTTTAAAAGAAAAAATCATTCTGGCATCATACCCTGTGTCCCTAATCAAAAAGCACAATTCCATCCAGAAGACAAGCTTATTGTTATTATCAAACGATTTACGTTATCAAGCTTAACCTCACTATCTCACTGCATTTCAAACATCTTAGGCATAATAAGGAACAGGTATTTTTCATCAAGTATTGATACGTTGAACC